CCCACAGCCTGCGTAGTGGGGCATCGAGGGGCCAGCTCAGGGGCCGGGATGGGTAAAAAATTTACATTCTTATTTATATTTTGCATTCCAAAATTAATATATGATTTTTAGGAATTAATGCAACAAGCGGCACCATTTCTTGATGAATATTATATTTTTTATGATGTTTTTCATTTTTCATTTTAAAAAATTGAATAAAATAAAAACAACCTCGAAAAATAATCAAACTTTAAAGATACGATCCTTACATTTTTCTAGGCATGCAGAAGAAAATGGGCTCAAAAAATGACAAAAAAAGTAAAGCGCTGTAAAAAAGCCCACAGCCCGCTTAGTGGGGCGCCCAAGGGCGAGCTCAGGGGTCGGGATGGGTCAAAAATTTACATTTTCATTTATGTTGTGCATTTCAAAATTAATATGTGATTTTGAGGAATTAATGCAACAAACGTCACCATTTTTTGATGAATATTCTATTTTTTATGATTTTCTTTATTTTTCATATTTAAAAAAATATAATAAAATAAAAACGACGTGAAAAAAATAGTGAAACCTAGATGACTTGATCCTTACATTTTTCTAGGCATGCCAGAAAAAAATGGCCTCAAACAATAACAAAAAAAGTAAAACGCTGTCAAAAAGCCACTGGCCCGCGTAGTGGGGCGCCCAGGGGCAACCTCATGGGCCAGGATGGGTAAAAAATGTACATTTTTATTTATATTTTGCATTGTAAAATTAATATATAATTTTTAGGAATTAAATCAACAAACGGCACCATTTTTTGACGAATATTATATTTTTTATGATTTTCTTTATTTTTCATCTTTAAAAAACATAATAAAATAAAAACGACGTCTAAATATAATGAAATTGAGGAGACATGATCCATACTTTTTTTCTAGGCATCCCAGAAAAAAAAATGGCCTCAGACAATGACATAAAAACTAAAACGCTGTCAAAAAGCTCCCAGCCTTCGTAGTAAGGCATCCAGGGGCCAGCTAAGGGGCCGGGATGGGTCAAAAATTTACATTCTTATTTATGTTTTGCATTCCAAAATTAATATATGAGTTTTAGGAATTAATGCAACAAGCGGCACCATTTCTTGATGAATATTCTATTTTTTATGATGTTTTTTATTTTTCATTTTAAAAAATAGAATAAAATAAAAACAACCTCGAAAAATAATCAAACTTTAAAGATACGATCCTTACATTTTTCTAGGCATGCAGAAGAAAATGGGCTCAAAAAATGACAAAAAAAGTAAAGCGCTGTAAAAAAAGTCCCCAACTCGCTTCGTGGGGCGCCCAAGGGCGAGCTCAGGGATCGGGATGGGTCAAAAATTTACATTTTCATTTATGTTGTGCATTTCAAAATTAATATGTGATTTTCAGGAATTAATGCAGCAAGCGGCACCATTTTTTATGAATATTCTATTTTTTATGATTTTTTTATTTTTCGTATTTAAAAAATATAATAAAATAAAAACGACGTAAAAAAATGAAATTTTGCAGACATGATTCTTACATTTTTCTAGGCATACCAAAAAAAATGGCCTCAAAAAAAAGAAAACAAAGTAAAACGCTATCGAAAAGCCCCCGGCCCGCGTAGTAGGGCACCCAGAGGCCAGCTCAACGGCCGAGATTGGTCACAAATTTACATTTTTATTTATGTGTTGTATTCTAAAATTAATATATGATTTTTAGGAATTAGTGCAACAAGCGGCACCATTTTTTTTTATGAATATTCTATTTTTTTATGATTTTCTTTATTTTTCATCTTTAAAACATGTAACAAAATAAAAAAGAGGTTAAAAAATAATAAAATTTTACCTACACGATTCTTACATTTTTCTAGGCATGCCAGAAAAAAATGGCCTAAAAAAATGATAAAAAGAGGAAAACGCTGTCAAAAAGCCCCCAGCGCGCACAGAGGGGCGCCCAGGGGCCAGCTCAGGGGTCGGGATGGATAAAAAATTTACATTTTTATTTATGTTTTGCATTCTAAATTGGTATATGATTTTTAAGAATTAATGCAACAAGGGACACCATTTTTTGATAATACTCTAGTTTTTATGATTTTCTTTATTTTTCGTCTTAAAAAAATATAATAAAATAACAACAACGTCAAAAAATAATGAAATTTTGCAGAAATGATCCTTACATTTTTCTAGGCAAGCTAGAAAAAAATGGCCTTAGAAAATAACAAGAAAAAGTAAAACGCTGTTAAAAAGCGCCCGCCTTGCGTAGTAGGGCGCCGATGGGCCAGCTCAGGGACTGGGATGGGTTAAAAATTTACATTTTTATTTACGTTTTGCATTCTAAAATTAATATATTATTTTTAGGAATTAATGCATCAAGCGGCACCATTTTTTCATGAATGTTCTATTTTTTATGATTTTCTTTATCTTTCGTCTTTAAAAAATATAATAAAATAAAAAGGACGTTAAAAAATAATGAAATTTTGCATATATGATCCTTACATTTCTCTAGGTGTGCCAGAAAAAAACGGCCTAAAAATGACAAAAAAAAGTGAAACGCTATCAAAAAGCCCTTGGCCTGCGTAGTGGGGCGCCCTGGGGCCAGCTCATGGGCCAAGATGGGTAAAAAATTTATATTTTTATTTATGTTTTTTATTCTAAAATTAATATATGGTTTTTAGGAATTAATATAACAAGCGGCACCATTTTTTGATGAATATTCTATTTTTTATGATTTTCTTTATTTTTCGTCTTTAAAAAATATAATAAAATAAAAACGACGTCAAAAAATAAAGAAATTTTTGCAGACACGATCCTTACATTTTTGTAGGCATGCCTGAAAAAAATAGCCTCAAAAAATGACAAAAAACGTAAAACGCTGTCAAAAAGCCCCCTGCCCGCGTAGTGGGGCGCCCTGGGGCCAGCTCAGGGGTCGAGATGGGTCAAAATTTTACATTTTTTTTATGTTTTGTATTCTAAAATTAATATATGATTTTAAGGAATTAATACAACAAGCGGCACCATTTTTTTGATGAATATTCTTTTTTATATGATTTTCTTTATTTTTCATCTTTAAAAAATATAATAAAATAAAAACGACGTCAAAAAATAATGAAATTTTGCAGGCACGATCCTTACATTTTTCTAGGCATGCCAGAAAAAAATCACCTAAAAATGACAAACAGAGTAAAACGCTGTCAAAAAACCCCCGGCCCACGTAGTGGGGCGCCCAGGGGCCAGCTCAAGGGCCGGGATGGGTCAAAAATTTACATTTTTATTTATGTTTTGCATTCTAAAATTAATCTTTATGTGAGAGCTTTTATTGTAGTAAAAAAGTTAGATGTGACTGTTTTTGAGAGCTTTTTACTGTAGTAAAACTCGAATTCTACACTCAAATCAGTGAAATGAACGAGACCTTAAATTGCATAGAAAAAAAAACAAAGAAGTAGATCCGAAAAACTTCAAGATTAGAATATTCAACATTGCTTTCATTGCCCAAAACAATACCACATACCAAGATACCATTTCTATACTCTTTCTGCCTCTTTCTGTTTTTTTCCTTTTTTTTTAAAATTTTTTCTTTTTCATCCCTCAAAACTGGTGTGCGTGACTAAATAAAGCCCTGTTCATTTTACCAATTCGAGTTTTCAATTTCAGTTTTGCTACAGTTAAAAGCTCCCACAAAAAATTACATCTAACATTTTCTGCTACAGTGAAAAGTCCTCACATAAAATCACATCTCAACTCGAATTAAAAACTTAAATTTATAAACTGAATGAGGCCTAAGACTACTATAGTAGTACTACTACAACTTTTATATATATATATATATGAGATGCTCTCGGAAATTTTGATATCTGTATTGTGACAATATTAATTCAAGTGTTAGTACTACTACAGTGGTTGACCACACTGAGAAGAGACCGTGAAGAGGAAATTAGAATTTTATGTTACAATTTCTGTGACATATGACCGACTAATACTATACCTATACCAGCTTCCCTTGCAGGTCCATAAGACTAAAATATAAGATTCGTTTCAATTCTTTTTTTTTTTTTTTTTTTTTTTTTTTTTTTTTTTTTTTTTTGCTCTCTTGATATTATATTTTTCGTGTTTGTTAAATAGGAGATTCTCCCATCACGTCCACTCCGAGGGAAGTACGAGCTAGCTAGGGATATACACACAAACAATTAGAAGATTGCTGCAAAGACAGAAAAAAAACAGTACTACTATTTACAAAACCGTATGATCAGTTGATCAAAAAGACTGCAAATCAAATCTTTGTTCTTCGCTCGGCCGAACGAATTTTGTGTTCGTGTTTGTGATCGTAATCGGATACGTTATTTCTGTGTTTTCCGAACCAGATCTAGAGTTCACATCTGGGATTTTGCTTGAATTTCACACATAGTGAGTTCTCCTTTTTCTTTCTCTTCATGATGTTTCTTCTTGAGAGTATTTTTTTTTTCCTTTTACTAATTTCTTTGTATAGTTTCATGCGTTATGCATGTATTTAAGGTTTTTGTATATATGTTTCGTTTTGATAGCTCTAGATGGGATTTAAGTTTCAACAAATAGGTTGATTTCTTTTCATCTTTTTTAATATTTCTGATCCTTAGACATAGATATATCAAATAATTCCAAATTCTTATTCTATCTTGGATTCCAAAAAAAAAGAAAAGAAAAAAATTGTCTAGTTAGGGTTTTTTTGCATCGTGCATCTCCTCTAAATATATTGGTTCAATTTCTGAATTAGTGCACTAATAATATCAATATCACAATAATAAATTTGGCGCTCTAATATTATAGTCCTCAAAATTTTATACCCCAGCTGATGTAACCTTCAAAACTAATTAATTAAGAAACCACCTACCTTTTAGACCTCACTTATAAAAACTTCAAACTTCACATTTTAATCCAAACAGTACATGTATGTCAAAGAAAAATATATCTACACACACACACACATTATTTTCTTCACAACCCTCTTAACATATCCTTCTTCTCCCTTAAAGAAACTCATTCAACATACATGGTGTCTTACATTTCACAACTTTTTGTTGACCATATTATTCCTCTCTTTGGCCAAAATCTGAGCAGTACTAGAATGGAATACGGTGCGTTGATGCCGAACACGACGTCGTTTGGATCGACGCCGTTCTCGGACCCGACCATGGAAGTGGACTTCATGGACCAGCTTCTCTTCGACGGTTGCTGGTTAGAGTCAAGCAGCACTACTACAGCCTCAGCCAATTCCTCATCTTCTCGAGCCCTAGTGTTTGATAACTCTTCTTCCCATTACAACAGCAGCAGCAGCAACAACAACAATTTATTTCCTTCTTCTTTCGAACCCATCTCTTCTTCTAATCATGAAAATCACCTGTTGACCATAAACCAACTTTATAATGACCAAGAAGACAATTTCCCAGAAAACAACAACAACAACAGCAATTCTTCAGAGTGCTTTGACTTGCTGGAAGGGAGTGAAGCTGACTTGGGCCGGAGACTCTGGATGGGAAACTGCAAGAGCTTGGCAAACTGCAAATGGTGTCGAGGGATTACCAGTTTTTGACCCAAACTTATGACCCACGTATTAACTATAGCCTCATTCATTTCACCGATTCGAGTTTTCAGTTCTAAGTTTCTACAGTAAAAACTCTCAGAAAATATCACATCTAATTTTTTCTGCTACAGTAAAAAGCTCTTAGAAAATGTCACATCTCAGCTCAAATTGAAAACTCGAATCCTTGGAGTAAATGAGATATATATATATGCTAAGCAGTATGGTGTTCGTGGGTCTTTGGCTCTTCCTATTTTTGAACGTGGGAGTGGCACTTGCTTGGGTGTTGTTGAGATTGTCATGACTACCCAGAAGGTCAATTACCGACCTGAACTCGAATACGTCTGCCAAGCACTTGAGGTGTGTGTGTGTGTGCGCGCGCGCATACATCTTGTATTGTATCTCTTCTTTCTTGTTATATTATAGTTTAATTAGTAGTGGATATTAATGGTTTCATTTCTTGTTATCGTAATACATATGTATGTTTTACTTGATTGTTAGAGAACTCAATTGGTGTTTAGTCCGTTTTTTGAGTTGTTTTCATTGTATTTAGTTCTGGATTAAGTTATAGAGGATAGTAAAAAAACTTTTTACCTCATTATTGGACTTTTTTTTTTTATGTGTTACGGTATCTCAAATTATTCAACCATGCATATCATGATATGATATGATTTGCTTCGCTATGATAAGTGTATACTTACGAAATATTGGTCATATTTTTTGCTCGTCTCATGTCTTGGGAAGATCTTATATATAAGCGTCCCTTTGCATCCTCCAAAGGCTTCCTTGTTTCAAAGCGTGAGGCACGTGAGCCTGCATGACACACTTTATTTTTCACGTCCATATAAATTTTCACTCATTACGTTGCTGAACTTTTGTGTACATTCTTGTTATCTCCACCACAAGTAGTGGATTCTAAATCCTTTTTTTTTTTTAATTTCCTTTTCTTCGATGTAAAAACATTTCAAAGATTCTAATAATAACTAAGGTTTAATTTTTCTCTTCCATGAACATGATTTGCATGTATATGATATATATTTCTTTCCATATACTCAATATTCTGGTCTAATTAATTTAAGCATGCCAACTTTGCATGCTGGTCATCTTAGGAGTTCTCAAAACTTCAGCCCTCCTACAGTAAAGGTAAGACTTAAGATTTTAAGAAGACATAATAAATTACCAACTTTTATTGAACTTTATCAAAATTTATTAATTCCTCCAAGCTCACTTGTATTTTTGCTGTTTTTCCCTTTTTCTTGTTCAGGCTTGTGATGAGTTATACCAAGCTGCCTTGAGTAAGATAGTAGAAGTTCTGATATCTGTCTGCAAGATTCACAGATTGCCTTTGGCTCTAACTTGGGCGCCATGTCACCAACAAGGCAAAGGCGGATGCCACCACTCCGACGAGACCTATGCTTGTTGTGTCTCCACGGTGGACTCTGCTTGCTTAGTCTCCGATCTGGAGATCTTGGGCTTCCACGAGGCCTGCTCCGAGCACCACTTGTTCCGGGGACAAGGCATCGTCAGAACAGCCTTCACCACCAACAAACCGTGCTTCGCAACCGAAATAACAGCCTTCAGCAAGACAGAATAACAAGAATATATGGTCTGAATATTGATTAATTGCATTACTAAATTTGGTTTACAGAGTTTGTATATATATATACAGAGCTGTACACTTAGGCGTAAAACAAAGATGCCTAAATACAAGAAAACGATAATACAACTTTTGAATAATAACCACTAGAAGGAAATCTGTGGAGATAAAATAGGAATTTAGTTTGTTGAAGCTTCTGCAACGGAATCATTTGAGTCTGGTGAGAGAAAGGTGGTGACTAAGACTTGAGGAGAGATTTGTGGAGAAGCCGAGTCTGAAGGGGAGCACGTTGAAGCTTCCACAGGTTGTTGAGATATTGCTGATGTGGTGGCCTCTGATGAAGGTGCTTTAGTATGCCCCCGCAAGACGGTGCTCCCATTGGAGATACCGCTCTTGGAGAAAAAGACCATGAAGGTGCTTTAACACAAAGATTTTGTTGACTGCGTAAGATATGTCGGGCCGAGTGAGGGACAGATATTGCAAAGCACCAATTACCTGACGAAACTGTGTTGCATTGGTGGATGAAGAACCATCATGTAGCTGAAAGGGACTTAATGGAAGACATTGGCGTAGTGCATTCTTTTGCACCATACATTTTTGTCCTTTCCAATAAATCTCTTATATACTTGTGTTGAGTTAAGAGAAGTCCAGATTTGGTTGGCAGAACTTCAATACCAAGGAAATAATGAAGGTCACCAAGGTCCTTGATGGAGAAGCGAGTTGCCAACGCTTGCAAAAAAACATGTGAGGAACTCGTTGTCATTACTGGTGACAATCAAATCATCTACATAAACCAAAAAATAGAGTGATAGCATTGTGATGATAAATGAAAAGTGAGGTGTCACTGCGTGAGTTAGCAAATCCATAAGAGAGTAAAAAACCCTTGAGCTCATTATACGATGCTCTAGGAGCCTGTTTAAGACCGTAAATTGCCTTTCTTAGTTTGCAAAAAAAGTTCGGATTGTTTTGATCAACAAATCCCGACGGTTGCTGCTAAAAGACTTCTTCAGATAGTGTTCCCTGAAGAAAAGCGTTGTTGACATCCAATTGTCGTAGAGGCCAGTCATTGGACAAAGCAAGAGAAAGGATGAGCCGAATAGTCGTTGGTTTGACAACCGGACTAAAAGTGTCATGAAAATCAATACCGGGACGTTGACGAAATCCCTCGGCGACGAGACGGGCTTTGTACTTGGAGATGGAGCCATCAGGATGTCGTTTAATCCGAAAAACCCATTTGCGGCCAACTACATTTTGAGAAGGAGAAGGAGGGACGAGTTCCCATGTTCCGTTTCGAAGAAGTGCTGTAAGCTCATCAGACATGGCTTGCCGCCATTCAACGTTTTTAATGGCTTGGGTAACACATGTGGCTTCAACATAGTCAGGAAGAGGATGATTTGTAGTTGTTTGATAGAGACGTTTGGGTTTGAAAATTTTATTTTTGGAACGAGTGGTCATGGAATGAGAAGGATCTTGCGGTATTGATTTAGTTGGATTTGTTGGCATGGGAAGGGCTGGAAGTTCTGATGATGAATTGGCATGAGGAATATATGCAGCAAGAGAACTAGAGTTGGGAGGTGAGGAAGAAGCATTAGTGAGAAGAGAGGAGTTATGAGTGGAAGTACCTGTCTCTGCAGAAAGAGGCGGCGATGATGCAATGATTGGCGGTGGCAAAGTGTGCAAAGGAGTTGCCATGGTGGTCTCTACTGGTGGTTGTTGTACATCAATAAGCAGTGACGTAGTTGATGTAGAAAAAGAAGTGGAAGGCAAACTCCAAGTATTAAGAGAGGTAGAAAGAGTTGAAAAGTCAGCAGAAGATGATTTTGAAAAAGGAAACACAGTTTCAACAAACCGAACATGACAAGAAGTGTATATTTTATTTGTTGTAATATCCAAACAAAAATATGCACTTTGATTAAGAGAATAACCAAGAAAAATACATGGAGAAGATTTGGGTTCAAGTTTATTAGAATTGTATGGTTTTAACCAAGGAAAGCATAGACATCCAAAAAATTGGGTTTATGGTTAAATAATTTTTCATAAGGGGAAGTAAAATTTAGTATAAGAGTGGGAAGCCGATTAATTAAATAAACCGCGGTTTGAAAAGCATAGGACCAATATTTGTGAGGGAGTTTTGCTTGATGAAGGAGAGTGAGGCCAGTGTCGACAATGTGTTTATGATATCTTTCAGCAGTGCCATTGTGTTGAGGTGTGTGAGGTGGTGTTTTGAGATGTTGAATACCCATTGTGCTTAGGAAATCTTTTAGAGCAGTAGATTCTCCACCACCATCAGAGTAGATAGAGATTATAGGACGTTTAAAAAAATTTTCAACCACAGCTTTATATTGACGAAAAATAGTGAACACATCAGATTTGAGACGCAAAGGATAGAGCCAAACATATTTAGTGAAATGATCAACAAAAATGACATAATAATAAAACCATTAACAGATTGGACAAGAGAAGGTCCCCAAACATCGGTATAAATTAAATCAAGAGGCCCATGGCTTTCTAGAGTGGATTTGCCGAACGGTAGACATTGGCTTTTATTACATAAACAAGATTGACACATAAAATTGGGAGGAATAGAAGAGGAAAACGACACTGAACCAGATTGAACCAAATATTTTATTATTTTTAGAGACGGATTACCAAAACGCTCATGCCAAATTAACGGGGATACAGAAACAGTTACACCGGTAGAGAGAGCCATGGCTGGACTATGATTTGCACCTTCTGCAGTCGGCCATTCATAAAGATCATGCCGATTCTTTCTGCGGAGTAGAGGAGTCCCCGTACATAAATCCTTGACAACAAAATGAGAAGGAAAAAATTCAATAGAGGTTTGATTGGATCGACAAAATTTGAAAACAGATATTAAATTTTGTTTAATAGACGGCACACATAAAGCATTAGAAAGATTGAAAGAAGGAGGGGAGGAAACAGAACCAGTATGAGTTACTTATAAACGTGAACCATCACCAATCAGTGTTGAACTTTCGGGCGGCAGGCATGCCCGATGCCCGAAAATTTTCGGGCATGGCGGGCAGGCCCCTCTCGCCGCTCGAAAATGCTTTTCTTCGGGCACGGGCTCGGGTAGCCCGAAAAGAGTAAGCCCCCCGACATCCCGCCGCCGTGGAGAAGTCGTCCCCCGCCGTTCGCCGGATTTTTTTTGAATTTTTCGGCAATACCCGAAGCTGCCCGAATTGCCCGAATTTTTTGTGACCGTTGCCCGAATTTTGCCCCGTGCCCGAAAAATACCCGATTTTTTTTTACCGTTAGCCCGAAAAATGCCCGAATTTTGAAAAAAACCGGTCTTTTGCCCGAACCCGAACCTGAATTTTGCCCGAATTTTTGAACCCAACGGTCGGATTTTGTGCTGTTGCCCGACCTGCCCGATTTTTGTCCGAACTGCCCGAAAATTTTGTAGCCGTTGGACCCGAATTTTTGGGGGAAAAATTTTTTTTTTCAACCTAAAAAATTTTCCTATAAATACCCCCCCAACCATTTTCCTCACCCCAAAACTCTCATTCTCTCTCAATTTCTCTTAATCTCTCTCAATTTCTCTTAATCTCTCTCAAATCTCTCTTAATCTCGCTTAAATCTCTCTTGAATCTCGATCTCTCTTAAGCTCTCTCAAAGCGCTCTCAATCTCTCTTATTTTTCATAATGGCTTCTTCTGGTTATGGTGGTGATATTCCCATTGATGCCCAATTCAACATCGAAGAAGGGCAATTTCCTAATATTTTTCAATCGCAGGAATCGCAAACTATGGAAAGAGTTGCTGATCAAACTGCAAATCCCCTGGTGGACGTACTAGAGGTCGGGGACACAATGGTGGTGGCACAAGTGGCCGTGGAGGAGAGGCAAGCGGTAGTGCTAGTGCAAGTGTTGCAAGTTCTAAGAAGAAATGCAAGCGCACCTCAGCAGTTTGGGAGCACTTCAACACATTCGAGGACGTCGACAATAACGGTAACATTAAATACGTAGCTCAATGTAAATATTGTGGTGAGAAATTACAAGGTAACACTATTCACGGCACTACACACTTAAGAATGCACTCTAAAAAGTGTCTTCAAAAGCAAGGAGGCGGAGATCA